TATCATTGTTAGATACTGTACCAGAAGTATAGCCCCTCGCATTGGAAGACACTCAAGACATGAGGAGAAAACACTGCAAATATGAATTAATAATTAGAAAATGGAATGTATGAAATGTGAATCTAGGAAAATGAGAAGTTTTCTGAAACAAAATAGCACATAAATGTATCCTAGGTATTACTGAGCTAAGATGAATTGGCCACTTTGAATCACATAATCATATGATCTGTTCTGTCGTGAATGACAAATTAAAGATGAATAGTGCCACATTCAGAGTCAAAAAGAATATTTCAAGATTTATCCTGAAGCATTTTACTATGTTGTTGTTGTCATTAGATGCCATCAAGTCGCTTGCGACTCATAGCAACCTTATGTACAACAGCCATAAACTCTGCTCTGTCCTGTGCCAATCGCACTGTCTCTGACACACCCATCCCGATTACCCGAGTCACTGAATCAACCCACCTCATAGAGGGTCTTCCCCTCCTGTGCCATCCCTCCACCCTCCCAAGCATGATGTCCTTCTCCAAGGACCAGTCTCTCCTTACAACATGTCCAAATTATGTTAGATGGAGCCTCAGAATTCTTGCCTCCAAGGAGCCACCCAGATTAACCCTTTCCAGGATGAATCTGTTTGTTTTCCTAGCAGTCCATGCAAGACCTGTTAATACAAGTATTATACAAATATATGCACCAAAGATGAAGAAATTAAGGATTTCTACCAACTTCTGCAGTCTGAAATAGACCAAACATGCAACCAAGATTCACTAATAATCATTGATAACTGGGATGAAACATTATAAGCAAAGAGGTACTGGTAGTTGGAAAATACAGACTTGGTGACAGAAATGAGGCTGGAGTGGCTAGTGGGTTTGACCCATCAACTTTTTCATTAGCAGTTAAATGTCTTTAACCACTGTATCACTAGGGTTGGTGTTTTGATTATGTTTTGTTTTTTTATAAATATCAAATTAGTGGCTCAAAATAATAGCAAACGTTTAAGATCTTACAGGAATCCAGATGCTGTTTAAGTTAAGCCTGATGTCCCTGACTCAAGATCTCTCAGAAGGCTGCAGACAATGTGCCGACCAGGGAGAGCTACAACCATCTCCAGGGTCAGCTCACAGGATTGTTGTCAGGCTGCAGAAGATAAGCTTGGTCTCAAAGGCGCCAAAGACAACCTTAGCTGGCTTCCTCAGGCTGTCCACTCAAGAGACAGCAGGAAAGAGAGTGCCCAAAATCAAAGTTTTGTGCTTTTTTTTTTCTGATTTTGCCTCCTGCTGAGAATTTGCATTTCCATCCCAGTTACACTGAACCAGAATCTACATTTTCGTAAGATCTGCAGGTTCTGATTCAATGCATCTAGGGTAGAAAGCAAAGTCTCAGCAGCAGGCCAAATGAGAACGAATTGATTCAAATCTCGACAAAGACAGAAACCATAATATTTTTATAGCAATCTCAGAAACAGCATCCAGCCCTTCTGCTGCATTCTGCTAGAAGCCTGAACTCAAATGGAGGAGATTACACAAGGGAGTAAATACCAAGATGCTGGATTAATTGATGCCAGTTTAAAGAAACAATCAGAACCCTCAAACTCTTTGCCTTTGAGCCCAAATCAACTCATAGCTGACCCTCCACTGTAAATTACAGTGTAATTTTACAGTTTATGGCTATAAAATACACAGGAAGAGATGGGCCATTGTCCTCCCATGGAGTTGCTGATAGACTTGAACCTCCAAAGAGGCATGACCTTTGGGGTAGCAGCCCAGCTCCAGGGAGACGTGGCCACCAGGACTTCCCTGGGGCTAGAATGATAGATGACCCTGTCATGTCATGGTGATGGCGACTCTGTATGTTATGGTGTATAAATACCTCATGGGATTTTCTTACTGTAATCTTTACGAAAGCAGGTTGGCAAGACTTTGTTCTGCAGAGCCACTGAATAGGGCTGAGCTGTCAAGATTTTCTGTTATCGTCTTGGAATTTCACACCAATTTTCCAGACAGTTCCCAGGTCACTCAGCTAGAGAACTGTCTAACTCTGAGATACTTTTCTATTTGGCCAGACCATCTGCGTATGAGATGGGAGTCAGGCAGGGAGATCATGCTGGTAGAAAATAAAAGGGCATAGTTTGTATGGTATGTGCTTCTTGGTAAACAAATGACCCACAGTTTGGGGGTTTAAAACAACAAACATGTATTACTTCATAATTTCTCTTAGTCAGGAACCTAGGAGTGCCTCAGCTGAGTGGTTCTGGCTCAGGTCTCTTGTGAAGCTGTAATGAGGTGGTGATCACTGAAGCCGTGACTGAGGCTGAGCAGCTGTTTCCTGGGTGGTTCACCCACATGGCTGTTGGCAAGAGACCTCAGTTCCTCACCACTTGGACTTCTCTATAGAGCTACCTGAGTGTCTTCACAGCATGGCATCTGGATTTATCCAGAAAAAGTGACTCAAGAGAGCCTATAATGGAAACCATAATGTCTTCTATGACTTGACCTCAAAATCACACACTGTCATTCCTGCAATATTTTGATGGTTTTGCACACAGATCAGCCCTGTCCATTGTAAGAGGTGATTACCCCAAATCAGGAAATACTAGGAAGTCAGGCTCACTGAGTGTCCAAAAGGACGCTGGCTACCACAGGGGCTTATAAGATTAATAATCTGAAAATTTAACTTGCATTAAGACACTCCGTTTTTCAAAGATATCTAGACTCTTCCCATATACTCAACACACAATCTGATTTCCTTAGTTCTATCTCCCCCTGTATTTTGGATGAATGGATCATCTGTTACTGACTGCCTTTCAGACCTTAACAGACCCTTGCTGATATGTTCTTCCCCTGTCTATCCTCCTTCACACCCCTAAGGACAACATCCTGTATAATAATGCCTCTTAGATAGAAAGGTGCCAATGAATCTCCTGATGGTTTTTGTTAGACTCACAGCGACTCTATGAACAAGAGATCTGAACTTTGCTCTATCCTATACCATTGTCATAATCTCTGTCATGCTCAAGTCCATTGTTGTCACCATGTCAATCTATCTTATTGAAAGTCTTCTTCTCTTTAGCTGACTTTCAGTCTCTCGAAGTATGATGTCTTTTTTCCAAGGACTGGTCCCCTAACAACATGCCCAAAGTATGTGAGACAATATTTCACCATCTTTGCCTCTAAGGAGCATCATGGTTGCATTCCAAGATAGATTTATTCCTTCTTTTGGGAATCTATTGTAAGTCAACACTCTTTACCAATATCACAAGTCAAAGGCATCAATTCTTCTTCAGTCTTCCTTATTCATTGTCCAACTTTCACATGCATAAGAAGAAACTGAAAATATAATGGCCTAGGTCAGACACATTAATTACCCATTTTTAATTATCTTTAAACTAACATCCTTGCTCTTAAACTCAGAGATTCTTCACAGCAGATTTCCCAGATGTCTTGACAACTGTTACCGTGGGTGTTGACTTTGGATCTAAGTAAAATAAAATTGTTGACAACTTCAATCTTTTCTCTGTCTATCTTGATATTGCCTTTTAGTCCACTGGTGAGGATTTTTATTTTCTTAGTGTTGAAGTGAAATCCACATTGAAGTTTAAGGAAGCTCTTGGAGATTGTGTTAATTCATTCCTAATTCAGTGGTTCTGGACTGAAATTGTTGAGGAATTGTTTAGTGAACTTGACAGTGGTTGACATTTTTAGTTGGAGGAGATGTGATCAAATGTCTTTGTCAAGGATAAGGCCAACAAATTGTCATTTGGGCCCAGTATCCACTCAAGGTGTTTTCACACTTTCAGCTCCCCTAGGTCTTCAGCTCATGTGGAGATTTCCTTTATTGGCTCTCAATAGTTCAAGGGCAACAGTGAGGGATGGATCAACATTTATTGAATGAATGAATGATGAAAGAAAAGTGAATTTATGGGTCAGAATTCAACTAGTCAAGGCACAGAGCAAGCTCCAGAGGACATGTTTGGTTTACTGTCTTCAACACTATTGCATTGTCAGAGGAAAATGACTTCACTTTTTGAACATGAGCTCTTAACTTCCTCCCTTGAGTTTTTAAAGTCATTTGTTAATAAACCTTGGAGATGAGTGGCTATTTGCAGAACCCCAGAGAACTGTGCTTCTCCAGGGACCAACCATCATCACCTTCAAGCCCAAGTTTCTCAGCAAGTGCGTTTCAGTGTTTCCCCAATCCTGGGTATTGTATTGTCTCAAAAGCTGATTCTCTAAAATTCCTAGCAACCACGGAGGGAGTCGATCACCCCTGTATTTCAGAGGAGGAAAGAGAGACTTAGCAAGAACAGCTCCCCCTGGGCCAAGTCATACCGCAGATATAACTGTATGTAGGACAATCAATGTGTCCTGGGCCCGGATGAGGGTAGGTGCTAAATTAACACCTTGTTAATACACACATACACGGGAAATGGGATCAGAAACAGCTCCCTGGCCAACAATCTTAAGTTTTGAGAGGTTGACCTCTAAGAGCTCAAGTACGCGCTGTTCTAACAATTTTCCCATTTAATTCCTATGAAAATACATCAATACAGCATGAGGAAATTAACATCATCTCCCCCCTATCTTTTGCACCAAAGATGTTGAAAGGGAGGGTTAGAGACCTAGTTAGAGACCTAGTGACAGGCACAGAAGGGAAGTTGTGTGTTCGCCCGTAGAACTTCTTGCCTTGATCCACACCACTAGTCAACCCCTGCACCATTTCATTTAATTTTCACAGTTTGATGACACAGGTACAAATGCAAAACAAAACAAAAACTGGGGACTTGAGAGGCTAAGTGATGTGCCCGAGGGCACACAAGGAAAAAGTGGGAGTTACTAGGTGGGAGGCACAGGGGGAGAGCGGCTGAGTGAACAAATGAATGTTTGCACCACCCTTCATAGCAGCGCTCTGTCCTCTTGGAGCGCGAACCCCCCAGATCCTTCCCGGGCCCCTTTAACTGGGCAGCGGAAGAGGCGGCCAGAGGCGGAGAAGGGCGCCCAATGGGCTGCGCGAGCGTCACTTCCCGGAGGCGGGAGGCGAGTGGCGAGTGTCGGGGGGCGGGGGCGGCCCGCGGGGGCGGGGCGGCGGCGGAGGCTGAGGCTGCGGGCTCCGACCCACGCGGCGCCCGGCCCGCCTGGCCTGCAGCGCTCCATCCCTGCGGCGACAGCGGCGGCGGCACGATGCCCTTTGACTTCAGGAGGTGAGTGTGGCGATCTCCGTCACAGGGGATCTCCCTCTGCAGCCGCGGGGGTGTCCCGGCACGTCACGGGCCAATCTGGTCGTGCACGCGAAAGCGCCCCCCTTCTCCCGGTGCATGCCTTTGCGGACCCCAGGCGGGCCCCCTGCTTCACACAAAGCCGGCCAGAGTGACAGAGGCCCTCCTCCCTGCAGTGGGAGACGAACCCACACACTTCCAAAGGCCGCCTCTCCTTCCTGCCGCCAAACCCCCTCCCAGCGCGACTGGACGCCTAGCACACCCACGTTCCCTTACCCCCAAACTAGGATATAGGCTTACATCCTCCCCTCGCCTCCTAGATAGAAGCAAATCCACCATCCTCCTCCACTCTTCCTGAGGCCATATTAGTGGACCTTCCACCCAGCTGACAGGTGGGTTCAAGGCGTTTATGATGCATCCCACCGACCCTCAGGAAGCTGCAGCTCAGTTTGCGGAAGGGCAGCTGAAGGGTTTTAGGTTTCTCTACCTTGAGGCTTTCCAGACTGGATAGACCTGGAGGCCTGTCTGGAAAGAGGCCTGTCCCCTGCCAGACTGACTTGCGCTCTGGATTTAGGGGTGCCTGGATCTAGGGATGTCGTGGGAGCAGGAGGAGGCCTAGGAGTGTGGGAAGATGAGGACCTTGCAGAGGACCTGACCCAGGTCAAACCTTGGCTTTTTGCAGTCACCACAATGGATCTTTTGTGGGGTCCAGCTTCTCATGGCCCACGATGTGCTGGGCAAAGCCTTCTGGACGTCTGCCCTGGAAGAGGTCTCCACCAATTTTCCCTTGAGACATGGAGCTCTGGGAGATGCCTGGCTTTAGACATCCACACTGTGGATGCTGACCTTAGTGTTGAAGGGAGCAGCATTCAGATTCTGGCTCTTCCACCACTGAGCTGCTGGGTATGGTCTAGAGGTTAAGAGCAAAGTGTTGGGTGCAGACTTCTTTTCCGTTGTTCAGATGAATAAGTGTCTGAGGCCTCTCAGTATCTTGGTTTCACCACCTGCAGGTCAGGCTAAAAATAAGGCCCCAGCTGTAAGAATTTCACGCACAGGCTACACTTTGCCCAGAGCATGGCAACGTTTAGATCTTGAAAGTGGAAGTGTTAATGAACAAGGGACTTCTCCATGTTAGTAAATGAGGCTTCTGATGCCTGCCTCACAAGGCAGTCTTCCCTTCCTCTACAGGTATGAGGCCCAGGTAAGGCCATGGCACAGAGAGGTGTCTATACCAGCTGTGACTTCATGGGTTGTGGGCCTATAGGATTTAGGCCTGGACAGGAAATCAGCCTTGGGCCTCTTGAACTGATTGGCACAGTTTTCCACCCTGTCCTAGCACACAGGCCATTAGCCTTCTGCTCTATGGGCAGCCCCAAGGCAGGTACCAGGTTCTCTGAGACGGAGAATGCTTCGCTGTGGAATTCAGGGCCAGCAGCAACGCCACCTGTTAACATATGGATCATGAGAGTTAGGCTACCACGTGAACCCTGGTTCTACAAAGACTCCCTTTTGTTGGATGGGCCTCTGGCCTTTCTACCCCATCATCGTGTAACTCATTAGCTTTGGTGATTTTGGGGAAATTCACTAGTTTGGGTATTGATGCTTTTACTCTACATTCTGTCCACATTGTATAGAGGAGGAAGTTGAGGCACCAGTTCTGAGGGTCTTACCCTGGATTACATGGGCCCAGGATGGTCACACACTGGGTGGGCCTGGGTCCCTGGCCACACACTGTTCCCAGCCTGATGCCCCTTCATTTGGAAGCTTAGGGAAGATAAAGTGGAGCCAGTTCTGAACTTTAGCCTTGCAGACCAGGGAAGTGGGGTATTTGGCTTCCAATAGTCTTTGTTAGGCATCACTGTTTCAAGGGGGCATGTCCCAGCTCTGAGATACCTCTGTCCCGGGGTTCCCCAAGCATGTTTTGGCCCCAGAATGTTATGAAATCCTACCTCCTTCACACTCAGTAAGGTGTTTGAATAGATTCCTCGAGGACCTGTGCTCACCACAGAATGGTGAGAATAGATTTAACACCATTTGCACCTTAGAGGATGGAGCCATATGTGCCAAATAAATCTGCATTTTTAAAGATCTGTTAACTACACACTTCAGGACTCTGGTGTGGGCACATGGTTCTCTTGTTACACGTTCCTTTACCGAATGGGTGTTGGGTGAGCTCGACGTTCAGCCCTCTGCCGGGGCCCCATGGTGTCCATGTGGAGACATGGCCCTGTCCTCGTGGACTCCAGGAAGAGGAGTAGGCAGGAGACCATCCGTGGGGGTCACAGGAACAAGGGCAGGGTATGAGCATGCACTACTGTACACACACCCTGGGGTGCAAATGGCACAGACATCCATTCCTTGTCCCCGTGAGATGTTGTTCTAATTGCAAAGGCAAAGGAGACTTTGCTAAGAAGAGTTCGCCCGTCCATGGCTGTGACCTGGTGGAGCTGAGATTTGAACTTGAGATTCCAAGCCTTAGCTCTGGGAGGATTGAGAGTCTCACAGTCCTGTCAGATCTTTTCATATTTGTAGGACGGGACAAGAAGCATACTGTAATTACGACTCCCCAACTTGGCGCAGCCCAACTCCTAGCCATCGAGTTGGAACCAACTCATGGCTGACCCTCTGGCAGATGTTCAGGAGGCTGTAGAGAAGATTGCCTATCATTCTCCCAGTGGAGCAGCTGATGGATTCAAACCTGCAGGGAGGCACTGCCTTTGAGTCAGCAGTACAACTCCCTGTGGACCATGCCACCAGGCAGAGACCAGGCTTTCTACTTGTGCTACTCTCCTGAAAACAAAATTTGGGGGCAGGTGGGAGAGGCAAGAGCTGGTAGGGAAGTCTACCACCCTGTCAACACTCCTTTACCCTGTTTGGCTGCTAACCAGAAGGTTGGGTGTTCCAGTCTGTGCAAAGACCTTCAGAAGATGGTCCTCACAATCTACTTTCAAACAAATCCATTCTGCTCTGATACCCATGTCACCACAATGGAAACAGATTTGTTCTTATACGTCTGAGGGAAACTGAGCGTCTGTGCCTTTTTCCTGTCTGTGCTCCAGTACCCAGGAAAGTGGACTCGCTGAAGGCTTAAATGAGACAGTGTGAGTGATAATGAGACAGTGAGAAAGCAATTTTGGTTGTTATTGTCACGATTCATTCAGACACCTCTTATGTTTAATGATCTCATTCACTTAATTACTCGATGCTTATTTTGTTTTCCCCTCTCATTAGAACTTGAGCTCCTTGAGGGCAAGAATTTTTATGTTTTATTCACTGTCCTGTCTGCAGTGACTACAGCAGTACCAGTACTTGAGTCAGTTGTGACTCAGGGCAGCCCCAGGGTGTCAGAGTAGACCTGTGCTCCGTAGGATTTTCAAGGGCTGAATTTTCAGAAGCACATCTCCAGGCCTTTCTTCCACGGGGCCTCTGATGGACACAGATGTCCATCAAAGATGTCTAGCAGCTGAGTGCATTAGTCAGTGGTACTGCCTGGTGCAAGAACAGTGTGTGGTGTTTTGGTTTTTGGGTCAGTTGTGGTTTGTTTTTTAGTTTTCTTTTGTTTTTTAATAACAGCAGGAAAAGAGAGGATAGATAATTAACACTGCAGTAGATCAGATGAGAAGAAAAACCGCCTAAAGGACTATATGATTACGCATTATAAGTATGACAAGAATTGGAATAAGGGGTGCACTGGGTTGTGAGCCGGGATGGGGGAAATGTGCAACAATGAATAAAAAAGATATCTATATTTTTCTTTGAAAGCAAAGAAAGTTATAGTGGCAAGAAGCTGTGCTGCCATCCTAAAGGCAGGCGGTTCGAGGCCACCAGCTGCTCTGCGGGAGAAGGATGGGCAATCTCCTCCCGTGCAATTAACTGCTGCTGAAAGCCTTCCAGGGGGTCAGCTGTGGGTTGGTTCAGACTGGAAGGTACATAAAACCAACATTGTTGTTTTAAATATTCAAGAGTCCCTGGGCAAATGTTTATGAAGCAAAGGCTTGTTCTTGTTAGGAGCAGAAAAAAAATTTATAATGTTGAGTTAAAAAAAAAAGAACAGTCCGTGGGCCAAACTCACCCTTAGGATTAGCCTCTTTTAAGTCTTTCCAGGAAGCTGAAGGCATGGTGTGATGGCAAAAACCACCTCTTCCTTTTGTGAGCAGATACCCCACCAGCCGCTCTGGAGAAGAAACATGGCATTCTCCTCCCATTGAGACTAACAGTCTGAGAATCCTCATGGAGGGTTGCTGTGAGTCAGAATCAACCGAGTTTTGAGTTTGAAATGTCAGAGGAGGCAGAATGCAGAGGATGCATCCTAGGCTTTCAGTGATTCTTCGTGTTAGCTTTGCTCTTGTTGAACTGTTTGATTAATAGCCGGATGTTGCAGCTGTAGAACTGGCCCCATGGCCTAGATCTGTGGACATTGGCACTGACTTTACCCAGTTCCGGTTGACTTGGGGCCAGCAGTACCTGGTGCCACCTGCCCATGAGGCTGGGGAAGCGGGGAGCCCTAGGATGGGGAGAGATAACAGCCCCAGGCAGTTCCTGCCTCCTGGCTGCAGTGGAGCCTGAGTGCGCTTTCTGGCTGGCTTTCCCTAACAAGAGCTGCCCTTAATTGAAACTCATGTGCCACTACCTGCCATTGGCCAGCTGCACCCTGTGACAGCCAGCTTACCCCCTCACACCCTCAGTTTCTTCATTTTATAGAATAGGTGGCAATCCTTGGCTGCCTCACCTAGGATATTCGAATGAGCTGTCTTCTAGTAGGGCCCAGTACAAATGAGCCTGCAGGGCTCCTTGTTCAGGAAGTATTCAGAATTTCAAGGTGGAAACTGCAGAGCATTAAACCAAGCGTGGCCTTTATGAGTACAGGGTCCCATGTGACTGCACAGGACACAACTCCGTGAAGCCTGCCCCACCACAGTGTCTCTGTTGCTCCCTCACTCTGGCCTTCCCAGTGGTCGCCCCCTCACTTTGGCCTTCCCAGTGAT